CGAACAAAAGCGACTATGTCGGAGAAATAAACTGTTAGATCACACCTTCGGGCTTCCCTGCTGTTGAAAGTCAATAGCAATGCGAAAGTCACTCAAGGAAATCAAAAATCAGAGGGAGAAAGAGAGGCCATGTAACGCCCAAAAGTCATGATCTTCGTTTTTGGGGTACATTATTATCTTCAATATAATTTTTATTTCCTTTTTATATAAAATCAACAAGGAAATATTTTTGTTTGAAGAATTAATTTAAATATTAACGGTTACACCGGTCCCCTAGTGAAGATAGCTATCATTAAAATACCACGTTGGAACCCCTGGTGGCAAATGGCGGAACTACACAAAACTGTCAGATTGGGATCAGCTGCTGTCATGAGAAAACAACAATAGATGACCAGCCAAAAAGGTATAAAAGGAGACGCATTTCACACAATCGGGATCAGTCTTCTGTTGATGGCTGGTAAGTCAAGTGTGATTGGGAGGAAGAAAAGGCGCGCAACCTCGGTTGAATTGAGTCTTAGTAAGCCAAACAATAAGCCTTGACTATTTGTGGTGACTAGACCGGACTGAACGCAGGGTCAAGTGAGGGTTGTAGCAATACTCCCTATTCTTCGGGCTGCGTTGACGGCGACTGAACGCAGGATCAAGTGAGGGTTGTAGCAATACTCCCTATTCTTCGGGCTGCGTTGACGGCGACTGAACGCAGGATCAAGTGAGGGTTGTAGCAATACTCCCTATTCTTCGGGCTGCGTTGACGGCGACTGAACGCAGGGTCAAGTGAGGGTTGTAGAAATACTCCCTATTCTTCGGGCTGTGTTGACGGCGACTGAACGCAGGGTCAAGTGAGGGTTGTAGTAATACTCCCTATTCTTCGGGCTGCGTTGACGGCGACTGACGTACTCATCGGGCTGCTGCTGTGCCAGGCCGCCGCCACCCTATTCGTCGTCGCGTATTCATCGGGCCGCCGCTGTGCCAAGCAGCCGCCACTACTACTCGCCGCTGACGTATTCATCGGGCCGCCGCTGTGCCAAAGCTGCCGCCACTACTAGTCGTCACCTGCGTATTCATCGGGCTGCCGCTGTGCCAGAGCCGCCGCCACCCTATTCATCGTCGCATATTCATCGGGCCGCCGCTGTGCCAAGCTGCCGCCACTACTATTCGCCGCTGACGTATTCATCGGGCCGCCGCTGTGCCAAGCAGCCGCCACTACTACTCGCCGCTGACGTATTCATCGGGCCGCCGCTGTGCCAAAGCTGCCGCCACTACTAGTCGTCACCTGCGTATTCATCGGGCTGCCGCTGTGCCAGAGCCGCCGCCAACCTATTCATCGTCGCATATTCATCGGGCCGCCGCTGTGCCAAGCTGCCGCCACTACTACTCGCCGCTGACATATTCATCGGGCCGCCGCTGTGCCAAGCTGCCGCCACTACTATTCGCCGCTGACGTATTCATCGGGCCGCCGCTGTGCCAAGCTGCCGCCACTAATATTCGTCACCTGCGTACTCATCGGGCTGCCGCTGCGCCGAAGCTGCCACCACTGCTACCCGCATACTCACATTTCGACTGTACTCTGTGATTTAGTGTTCTTCGTGTTTCTGAACGTGGTATTATTGTGTTTAGTGTAGTGTTTAGTGTTATTTACGGAAATAAATTTATAACGTTTTAAGAAAACATTTTGCTTCGCTCTCTCTCTTTATGTCCTAACAAATAAATTCTTGTGACGACTCTGGCCCCCCGCTGAACCTACCCCAGCTTCAAAGTGAAAACACGTCGTCACAAAATGTTGTTGATATAATTCGAATCTACACTAACTAATGAATGTCCCTACAACATTTAAAATGAAAATCTCAAGAACTCTTCTAGATATAGCCGATTTATTGTGTCAGCATCAAGTGACGGCTGAAGGGCTTCTCAAAGAAAAAAAATATTTTTTGAAAATCACCGATTTTTTACCAAAACCCAAGTTAAAAAATAAGGAAGATCTTCACCGATTGGCTTTATCCTAGTTCATACGATAGCTATGTACTTACAGAGAAACGTGTAAAAATTTGAAAAATTTTGAATGGAGGGCACCCATTCGCAAAAAAAATGTTTAGAAAAAAACGCGTTTAAAGTTTGAGAAGCCCTTCAACTCAAAAACTAATAACCCAATCGATTTCAAATTTTTACACGTTTCTCTGTAAGTACATAGCTATCGTATGAACTAGGATAAAGCCAATCGGTGAAGATCTTCCTTATTTTTTAACTTGGGTTTTGGTAAAAAATCGGTGATTTTCAAAAAATATTTTTTCAAAGGTCCACCATTTTGTTAATTTTAGAGCGACGTCAATAATACGAGAGCCAGACATGTACTCTTTCTAACACCGTTGGAATTTTCGGATTCCGATGTTCCTGTGAAGAGTTATCATGCCCGCTACCAAAAATAAGGACTTTTCTTTAATTACAAAAAACAACAACAAAACAACAACAAAAATTTTTTGTAAATAATTTTTCTTCTATTCTAAGTCTTCAAATATATATGTGTAAAGTTACAAACCTTAACAAGCATTGGTATTGATTTACCAGCCCTCTGAAAATCTTGAAAAATTAAAATCGAGAATGTAGCAGCAAAGGTGCAATCTTACTCAACAAGGAAACTCGACGTCGAAAAGCTGCAAACGTAACAGGTAGCAGTAGCCTACTCCGCTCAACTTACGAAAGCACTCCTTGTTCCGATATATTATAGAAGCTCAACGGCAATGAATTGCCCACTCCCTGCAAACTGCAGCAAAATGAAAAACGCAGTAGCAACACGTAATGCGATGAAAAATTATCGGTAGAAAAGGATAGATGATAAACGTATTTTTTAGAAAAAAGAGTAAGGAATAAGAAAAACGTCAGCGTGTGCAAATCGAGATGTACAGGAGTCCTGAAATTTCAACAAACCGAAGGCTTTGGTGCAGGAAATCTGGTAACAGATACAGACAGCGTACTGAGGATCTGGAAGGACCATTTTGGAAACATTCTGGTATCAAATAGTAGCGGTGAAAAGATACCCCAGAACCAAAAATAGATGACGGTATAGAGTGTATACCACCTAACCAAGATGAGGTCAGAATAGCAATCTGAATAATAATAAAGCAGCAGGTGCCGTTGCATTACCAGCCAAACTATTCAAGACTGGTGGTCAGATGCTGGTCAGGAGAATGCATCAGCTGATTAGTTCAATTTGGCTAGTGGAATGCATGATGCAGATTTTCACACTGCGTCAAATCCTGGAAAAGACCCACTAAAACACATCGACACAGTCCACCTATTCGTCCACTATAAAGCCGCATTCGACAGCCCTATCCGTTCAGAGGTGTTTAAAGCCATGCCTGCATTTGGCATTTAAAATTAATACGGATATGCAGGATAACTTTAACTGGCACAAAATCAGCAGTTAAAGTCGGAAAGGACCTCTCGGAGCCCTTTAATACCGAACGAGGATTCAGACAAGGTGGCAGTGTGTCGTGTGACCTTTTTAACATCCTGCTGGAAATGGTCATAAGAGAGGCAAAAGTGAACAGAAATGACACTCTGTACACCAAACAACACATGTTACTCGCCTACACCGATGACATCGACATAATGGGTCGAACATTGATACCGGTAAAAAAATTTGAACAGTTAAGAATGAGTCTGCCAAAGTGGGTCTGACAGTAAACGGCGAGAAGACCAAGCTGATGGTAACAACCTCAAGACGCCCAGTAGGCACAGATCAACTGTGTAACTTATGAACTACAGCTGCGAGGTAGTCGAAGATATTATATACCATGGTACCGCAATAAATACAACTAATGACATCATGACATATTCGGAGAAGGCCACCTCCCCCCAGACCAAACTCACACTCTACAAACGCTGATACCATCTGTGCTGTTATATGGATCTGAAGCATGGGTACTTACGCAAGCAGATGAGGCAGCACTTGGAGTGTTTGCAAGAAAAATTCTTCAAAAGATCTATGGGCCGATCTGCGTTTATTGTGCAATATTTCAATAGAATATTTCGAGAAAAATATCGTCTTGTGTTATTTAATTACTCGAGATAGAAGTACGAAATGTTTTCAAAAACCCCTCATTTGGTTTGACATAAGACCTTCATTCTAGATAATAACCTGAAAAAGCTGCAAACAAAAATATAAAAGTTTTTCTTCTTGAGCTTTAGAGAAACCAGCAAAAAATTCATTAAGCGATAAAAGAAAAACTTGACCTATGGCGAATATGCACTACAGGGTTCTTAAATGCGTTCATCTCAACAGGTTGTTATTTGAGATGGAAATTCGAAACTTTATTTTGAACTATTGATCTATATTGCCAGGCAAATTAATTCGTTACATTCAAGTATTACTTTTAATTTAAATGAATTCTTGTAGGATAGATCTACCATAAAAACAAATAACTACAATGATTGAAATATATCCCTCAAGATTTTTTCGTTCCCAATTTTATATTGTGCCGAGACAATATTTTACAAAAATAAATAATGATGATATTGTGGCAATTTCATAATTCATACTGTTGATGACCCGTCTATATACAAAAGAGAAACCTCTATTTCGATACAGACAGAAAAATATTTCCCCATACCATTAAAACAATTTTCCAAAATAAAGATTGAAAAACAATAGTGTGATGATTGGGTGTGAGTGGAGGAGATGCTTGATGTGTGTCTGATGTTATGATATGGGCATTTGGTCCTTTAAATAACAAAACGGAAGTCCAACAAAAACAAACACAACAATCTATGAACAGTCTGAGGGACAAATATATAAAAAACAATAAACTAGTTCTACTCATATTATCATCAAATGGATTTCCATTTAGGGCTGATGTTCAAAAACTGTTATTGTTTTTATTAAGTGTCGCATGATATGAAAAACCCTCATAAACACTTCAAGTGGCAACATGACATTTTTGTTGGAGATATTTTGAGAAGGAGGGAAGGAAGTATGTATGTTCGGCTGGTTGGTTGGAAGAGTGGATGATGGTGATGCGCTGCTGTTGCCCAGGGCTTGATATTTGGTGTGTAAAATATGAAACTCTTCGTACGAGTATGTGTGTTGCAATTTGTATGTAGGTATGTTGTGTTAGTGTGACTATAAGTAAAGGATTTATCCTTTTGTCCTAATACAGCCTTAAATAGTATTGTATGGAAACATATTTTTAACGAGTGTTGGGAGTAAATTTCAATTCAAGAAAAATTTGTAAAAAATCCGGGTGTATTGGCTTCGATGTCCTATAAAAAATGTTTTCTTAAAAATTAAATTATTCTCAAAAATATCCACGTTTATCGGTCTAAAAGTCCTTAAAAATGATTTTTTTAAAATCCACGGCTAAGGGCCTCAATATCATTAATTTTTTTAAGGGGTTTAAAGCCGTTAAAAATTATTTTTTTTAAATCGAAGGCTATTGGCCTAAAAGCCCTTAAAATGTTTTTTTTAAATCGACGGCTATAGGCCTAAAAGGTCTTAAAATGTTTTTTTTTTTTTTTTTAAATAGGGCATAAAAGGGCGTAAAAGTCCTTAAAAATGTTTTTTTTTAAATCGACGGATATGGACCTAAAAGTCCCTAAAAATAATTTTTAAAAAATCCACGCCTATTGGCCTAAAAGTCCCTAAAATGACTTAAAAGTCCTTCAAGAAATATTTTTTAAAAATCCACGCCTAAAGGCTTAAAAGTCCTTGCTCAAAATTTATTTTAAAAATCCACGCCTAAAGGCTATGGAGTGGTGCTCAAAATTTATTTTAAAAATCCACGCCTAAAGGCTATGGAGTGGTGCTCAAAATTTATTTTAAAAATCCACGCCTAAAGGCTATGGAGTGGTGCTCAAAATTTATTTTAAAAATCCACGCCTAAAGGCTCAAAAGTCCTATGGACCTAAAAGTCCTTCAAAGAATTATTCTTTAAAACCTTCGGTTATGGTCTTAAAAGTCTTTGAAATAAATATTATTAAAAAATAACGCTTATGGGTCTAAGAGTCACTGTTTGGACCTACATGAGTCTACAATCCCCTCTTGTAGCCATAAAAACATCCAATATATCTGTATTTTTTGGATACATTGATTCCATTTTCCAAAATTACTACCCTTCCTCGTTGGTCTCGTTAGCCATGTGTTATGAATCTTTTCACACACATACAAACAATGTTATTAGTGTTATTTTCTTTTTTGTTTCAAAATACTGTTTTTTTATAAAATAAAATGTTCACACATTTTTTGTCACAATTTCACAAATTCAACGACCATTGCCAAAATAACAGATGGCAGATGAATTTGAAGTACTAATGACTAAACTTGTGTGCTAACCTTTAGATCTCTCCCTGAGTGCTGAAAATTCTGAATCAAATGTCAGCATTCCAGCAGCAGCAGCAGTTTATAACACTAAATAGTTTGCCAAATAGCTGAGTAATAACCCTTTCTCAATTCTATTGTCCTTTTGTTCACATACTTCCCTT